TATATATACTGTATATATACTGTATATATACTGTATATATATAATTTTTTTTATGTTTATCCATTTTTACCATGTTTGCCACTGTTTGAAACTAATTTTTCATTGGTCAACACAAATGTGCAGAAAAGTAAGTGTGTCGGTTGTTTTTGCAGGTTAACTCTTCCATCTTGGACCATCCTCAAAAGGCTGCTGTCAGAAAGGGTCACGATGGAGCCCAACACTGTCCTGAGCGAGAGGTTTTTCATCGTCATTCGTGGCAAGACCAGGAAAGGTTTCTGCCGAGGCTGTATTGGTCGCGTGGAAGCTGAGACTCCATCCGGAGAGCTGATGGGGCTCCTGTACGGATGTGGCACCAACGCGGGGAGCCCAAAAAACGGAGGCCTGGTGAGGAAGGAGGACGTGTACCTGCTGACACGCCACCAGGCCCAGCTGCTGCTCTTTATTTCCAGTACCAGCAGGCGCCTGGAGGTGCTGTGCAACCCGCAGCTCTTCTCAGCCATCTGTGAGCTGTCTCAGGATGACCTGGTGGTGGTCAGTCACAAGAAGGGACACGTCCCCGGACTGGTGAGGAACCTGATGCAGATTGGAAGGAAAGAGAGCAAAGAGGATCTGCACATGCTTGGCTTCGAGCTGGAATTTGTGGTGAGTCTTTATAATTGCATGATCACTTTGCAAATGTCTTTAAAGCACACAGTTGCAACAGTGCAATAAATTCACTGCCTCATAATAGAAATGAAGATCTGTACATCTTTTGGTAAAATCATCTGTCTGATTGTTTGGTGTGAAACTCTAGATGGCATTTGAGCAGAGTTTTGTATGCAAACAGTTGCTCTGCAGATTTGAGTACTGTACATAAGTATAATCATTTTTCTTGTTGTTCTTGTTTTTTTTTTATAGGACACTGATACTTTTTTGTCAGTGAAACCCGCTGCTCCTCTGCCCATCTTCAGCGCAGCGGACATTGTCCAGGTGGTTCCGTCTTACTCTGTCCCGCTCGGACTGCAATGGAGAGACGGCAAATATGCAAGTAGGTTTAGCTCATCTGCTTTAGCACTCTGTAGATACTTCTGATTTGTTTTTAACTGACTTATTAAACTTTTATGATAACCAAGCTATACAAGCAGCAGCAAATTAAACAATGAAATTCTTAAGTTTATACTAAGCACTGGTGAGCGGTGATGCAGACAAGACACTAACCTGGAAAAACCGGTCTTGTTGCAATGGAATGTGACATTAGAGTCATCACCAGTTCTCATATTTTATTAGCTCTTAAAACTACCTGCATACCTCATTTGTAGACCTGCCTCATGTTGGCTTGGAGTCACTTTGTCAGTCACATGAGATGAAACCAAAAAAATGTTTTTTACATTTCCAACCGCCCCTCACCCCTCATATCTGTCTGCAGGTACAGGCAGGAAAACTGTGTCACGCATCAACTCCATGCCAAGTATTGGAAGCCGTGCTCGCCAAGCCACAGAGACCCAAACAGAGCGGAGGGTGGTCCAGAACCAGCGGCCGACCACAGCACATGTGCCTCTGGAGGTGGGCTCCATTGTGGAGGTCGTCTCCAACACGGGGGTCAAAGTGTACGGAGTCATCCAGTGGATGGGGATCCTGGAGGGGAAGGCAGGTGAATGGGCAGGGATCGAACTGGTGAGCGACCTGATGCTTCGGTGCATTTGTGGTGACTTCTGTCCGCTTCAGGGTGCCTGACTTTATTGTTGCATCTCATTATTTCAGGACTTTGATGTGAGAGGCTGCTCTGACGGGACGTATGAAGGTCAGAGGTTTTTCACCTGCAAAGAAAACCGAGCCTTGTTTGTTCCGGTCACAAAGTGCAGCCCTGACAGCAGGTTTGTCACCTGCTCCACAGAAAGTCCCCTCAGAGCCACCCAGACACCTGCAGGTCAGCTTCCTTAGCGTTTCTAAAATATCACCATTTTCTGACATCTACACAGCTTTACATCATTTCAGTAAAGCAAAAGATGTATATAATTTGCAAGAAGTTCATAAAAAAGTTACTGTAAAACAAAGTATTTCTGTATCGAGATAGATTTTTATGTTATTTTTCACAATAATTCTGAGCGAATAATTACCGCTAGAGTTTGATGAAACTAGATGAAACTTAGCGATTGAAGAGAAAAGGAGCACAACTCAAGCTAAGAGCTGAAAGGAGCAAATCATTAGCTAAAGAGTAAAGTAGCAGATGGCTAAATAGAGGCTAAAGAGTAACAAAAGGCAAACTAGAAGCTAAAGTTAGCGGGATAGTAGCTAACTGTAGCATAAAACGACAGAGCAAGAAGGCTGAAGCAGTTTTCAAAAAGAACAACATTTTTGAAAACATAGGTTTAGGTTTATTTGTTGTATGCAGGTCAACACAATGCAATGAAATGCTCAGGACGAGAAGAACCGTCTCGACTCGCCCCCAAAAAACGACAAGAAATATCAAAGCATGCAACAAAAAACAAAAACAAGGCGCCGAAAGTGAAAAGAAATGCATCTACAGCAGCATGGTCCTATTGGCAGAGTGGTTCTGTTTTGTTGTCATTGCAGAGTTCTCAATATATTTCTATGGGGAAAATGTCTGTAAAGTATTTTGAAATGTATTAAATAATACAACAAACAGAAAACAGTTAAATTCTTCTACCCATATTCTTTACCAGCTTTCCTGCATGTCCAAGGTACACTCGTCCATCACAGGGACACATGAGGACAAATCACCATTCACAATCAGGGACAATTTAAATTGTCCCTGATTGTGAATGGTGGTTGATATACTCAATATATTAATGCAATATACAAAGTATGTACAGTATAAGTCCCCGTAGTTGGACTGGGGAGAAAATGTGAACATTTTTAAGAAAGTGTAAAATAAGTGTAAATGCAACATCATTTTTAAATAACATTCTTTGGCGTTTGCAACATGAAACTGTTTCTCTATAAACACTGCACTAAAAGTTTTAGGAAGGCCTGAACTGTTTATCCAAAGTGTTTACGTTGAACCTGTGGGAGTGAGGATTTAATCCCCGTTTCTTGCATCTGTAAGATGCTTCACAAATGGTCCAAGTTACCTTTTTTAACATCCATAAGCAGAAATGGAGCGATAGAATCGATGCCATCTGACACAGTTTATGTGACTTGCTTCCTGCATGTTTAAGCTAGTTAATAATCGTTCTTGAAGAAAAACATAATTAGTTTGGTCCACTGTGATTAAGCCTAATGAGTCTTTTATTGTTATGAATTAGTTTACTTGTTCATTTCAGTTCCACCCTTCGAGGACACGGGGGAGGATGCACCACCTGTTCCAGAATCTAAGGCGGTGTCGTTGTTTGTTGGGAAAATGAAGGGAATACAAGGTCACAATAACTCTTGTTACCTGGACGCTACTCTGTTCAGGTAAAACCAGTTCACTGCCCTGTGAAACGTTTGACGTAACATTACTGCAGAATCACTTTCGTCTTGCATTGTTTAAAGGAATTTCATTCGTAGTAGCTCATGCACAACCAAATGAGCATTTAGATAAACGCATCAGAGTCGATAAGGCATTGTTTCTTTCCTCCTCAGCCTGTTCAGTTCATCTGTGACAGTGGATAATATCTGCCATAAGCCTGCAGACGAAGAACAACCCATAACCTGCACTCTGAGGGCAATAATCAACCGTTTGCGCAGGTACAAACATAGCGTCATGTATCTTTTCCATCTTGTTTTCTAAAACAAAGGCATAATGAATTTTACTGATCAACAAGCCTGATTTGTTTAATATATGCTGATATGAGTATTTAAAATTAGGGATGCACGATATTAGATTTTTGGCCGATATCTGATATGCCCATATGTTAAAACTTATTTGGCCGATAACAGATACCGATATTTTTTTTATATACTTGGTCAGAACATAGCCCTCTTATTTATTCTTATTTGCTACAAAATTGTGTAAGAGCTGGTGACATATATTCAGTAACAGCCATATGATATACATATCACTTTAACTTGTATTAAATGAAAAGTGTTAAATGTTATTTATTAGCATTAGCCACCTGCGATGCTGTCTCTCTTGTGGAGGCTTGTTCCAGGTTCCTAGCTGCAGTGTGGGATCCTCAGCACTCCTGTGCATGAAGGACAGACTTTTTAAGTTCAAAGTTTTTGTATATCCATTGTGCCATAAGACTAATCATGCTAACGGGGCTAACGCATGACGTCCAAATGTCTGTGGTAAAACTCACCCAAGTGCTATTGACTATTAACTTCTCCATGGTATTCAGCTATGATGTGGTATATCAGCCTATAGCTTCTCAGCCATTAGCTTCTCAGCTATTAGCTTCTCTAAATGAGTCCCCGAGGCTCAGTGGGACTAACCTGTATATAAATAAAGGTTGAACGAATGACGTTGGAAATGACAGCTTGTAACTTGTAACTAAGGTAAGGCTACATTGGAAAAAATATCTCTGACTGGGGACGATGTAGCGAAACTCACCATCGGCATTTTGACTTCTTCCTCTCTGCCGTGATCAGATCAGGTAGGCACGCATGACGTCATCATGTTGTGCTGCTGCTGCAGGTGTCCTTGTCACCGTGTTGTTATATAAAAACAGCGCCTTTTGTATCGGTATTATTTTGATGGAATGGCCGATGTCTGATATTTAAATTTAACACTAATATCGGTTGATACCGATACCATGCCGATAATATCGTGCATCCCTATTTAAAATCATTAAATGTGTGTATGTAGTTGTTATAGTTTGTTTTTAATTGCAGGCAAGGGTTTGTGCCTGCAGAGAGTGTGATGAATTTTCGCAAACAGCTTGGCTGTGAAACTTTTAGCACACACGAAAAAGGTATATGCCTATAATGTTGTAGGATGTGCCGTTATGTTTCCATGAGGTCATTGTGACAAACGACTGAAGCTCACTGTTCATGGATCTGTGTCGTCCTAAAACAGACCCTGAGGAGTTTATTACAGTCCTCTTTCAGAAGGTGCTTTGCAGTGAGCCTCTGCTGAAGCTTAGGTATGCTCCCAAACCACCCTGGATTAAACATCTTGCCTTGTGTTTACGTGTATAGTTAAGTTACGGAATATTTGTCACCTCAGATCAGAAGTAGGAACATCTCAGGGAGCATACACCCTCCAAATCTTCTTGGAAAAACAGCAGATCAGACAGATGCCCACTGTTCAGCAGCTGCTTGACACGTCCTGCCTGTCAGGTGACCTCAAATTTGAAACGGTGAGTCCTTTATCCTGCAAACTAAAGTGTCCAAGTCTTTTTCTGAATGTTCATATATTGAATTTATTGCCTTTTTCGTGCCATAGATGCCCTCCTGTTTGATCATCCAGATGCCGAGGTGTGGAAACAAGTACAAGATGTTTTCTCACATTATTCCTACCACTGAGCTGGACATTACAGACCTCCTATACAGCTGTGAGCACCTGACTGCATCATTTAACAGCTGATATTGTGTATGAAATGTGATTCTAAATATATTTATTAATTACCTGCTTTACTGTCCCAACAGCTCCAAGGGACTGTTTCATCTGTGGATGTTTGGCAGAGTTTGAGTGTCTTCAGTGTTTACCAGATTACAAACTGCAACCAGGAAGAATCAAACAGTACTGCAGTACCTGTAACACTCAGGTAGACCTTTTAAAGCCATTTTAAATGTAGATTAATTCATGAATTGAGTCTGCAGTGTATAATTTCCAGCTGTTTTTTTCTTCTTCCTATTTTAGGTGCATGCCAATCCATCCCGGTGCAGTCACTGTCCAAGGGCGCTCATAGTACCAGCAGGTGTAGCCACCGACGGTCCTGTTCCCAGGCACAAAGTTCATCTGTTTGCTGTGCTCTGCATTAAAACCAGCCACTATGTGTCCTTTGTCAAATACGGTCCTGGTCCGCACTCGTGGTTTTTTTTTGACTGCATGGCAGACAGATGTGGTAAGAGATTTCAGCCATTTGAAGGTGTTTACAATAAATGGCCTCAAAAAGTACTTCTGATGTGTGCTTGATTTGTTTTTGGGCTTGGTGTTGTTGCCTATGAATTTTGAGTTGGGCTTTTTTTTCTGTAAATGCAGCCTTGACAGTGATAGATAAAGGCCCGCTTAAGAGCAACTCTGACGTCTTACAGCTGGCCTTTATCTCAGTTTCTGAGCTGATCTCTAATCTTGAGGTCGCTTGCTCTTTCTTCTGCAGGTGACGATCAGAATGGTTACAACATTCCTGAAGTCCAAGCTTGTCCTGAGATCGGTGACTTCCTGTGTCAGCCAGAGGAGGAGCTGACCCGGGCTAATCCTTTTCAGGCTCCTGAGATGGTTCAAAGGCTGCTGTGCGACTCCTACATGTTTTTGTACCACATACCAGCCATGTGACTTTCAAAGCCAAACAATGGAGAACTTTAAATGTGTTTGCAGACAAGGACACTATGTTCCATAACAGTGCCTTTTGACAACTTTACATCTCTAGTGAGTCTGCTTTTATGCACTTTAATGCATCCAGATGCAGGAACTGAAATAGATGGAGGAAAACATAAATTTATGTTCAGAAATCTGGATTGATCAAACTGAAAGCTGAGTTGCACAAGGAAAATCTAACTCTCTAAACTTTTTAATTGTTTTTTTTTTAACCCTTGAATTTCTTATAGTTGTACTGTTTGTTTTAATAATTTTGGTCAAATAAAGTTGACTGCAATTAAACACTTAAACGTGTATCTCCCACATCTTCCACCTTGAGTTAAAAACTTGCTTTTATTCTTGTTGATATGGGTAAAAAAAAAGGTGTAACAGATATGTGAACATTTGAGTAATTTACTGTAAATAATTTTACTTTGATTTTTTTCCCCCACTTTTGTAAATACAATAATTGATTAAAGTGCAAAACACTGCAACTGGAAAACAGTAATTCAACATCGGCAAAACAATTTTTACAGAAATCAAGCCTGCACCAACATTTTGGGGTTGAGTTCTTGAGTTAGAAAAAATCCTCTTACATTTATATGATTGTTACAAAAGATTGTGTATGTATATAGATTCTCTGATCATGTTATGAGGCAGCAGCTCTAACCACTGTTCCACTATCACCGAAGTTCAGGTATAACAATCAAATAATTTGATTCAAAAAGAACAATGCCCTCCAAATTATTTTAATAACATTTTGTTTTTGTAATGCCAAGTTGGAAAAAAGATAGTAAATCTTCAAATCACATCTACTTCTTTTTTTAAATCACCCATTTTAGGACGGCTGGGTTGCATCACAGGAAATCTAAAGAGGAACAATCCAAGGATGCCTCCTGTTGGAGATAAAAAGAAACACAAAGCTAATGACGGCAACAACAGAAGATAAGAGCAGAGTAAAGCCATCCATCCATTATCTTTACCTGCTTATTCCATTGTTTTGGGTCACGGGGGTCGCTGGTGCCCATGTCCAGCACTCACTGTGCGAGGGGCGGGGTACACCCTGGACAGGCTGCAAGTCCATCACAGGGCCACATAGAGCCAAACAACCATTCACTCTCATTCACACCTAGGGACAATTTAGAGTTACCAATCAGCCTAACATGAATGTTTTTGGTCTGTGGGAGGAAACCGGAGTACCCGGAGAAAACCCACACATGCACGGAGAGAACATGCAAACTCCACCCAGAAAGGCCCCTGGACCGGGGTTTGAACCAGGGACCTGCTCGCTGAGAGGCAGCAGCTCTACCAGTTGCGTCACGGTGCTGCCCGCAGAGTGAAGCATTAAATGCAATATGAGACATTTGCAGCAGTTGTGGCCAACTAGAGTGACATTTTCACACATGGTTAGTAGGTTTTTGAAGTGTCACTTCAAGTTTAGATTTAAAAGCAATACATTAAAAACTATCAAATTACTTTATGTATTTAAACTAAAATGATTGGATTTTCCTGTCATTATGGATAAATATAGACAAGTGTCAGCTAAAAACAGGTTTTCTTACTGTGTTGTTCAATAATACAACTAAATAATGGTTGGTTTTATAGGAGTACTAAATTAATAAATAAAATGTCTTTATTTTCTTAACCTCAGTTCTGACATTGTAGGCAAGATATGCCTGTGTAGCACACAAATTTATTACAATATATTAGATATTAGATACATATTAAATATATAAAAAGTCTGCAGGACCAGATGACCTTCCACCTTACTTCTTAAGGCTGGCCACTCATCACAGTGCCGGTGTCCCACATCTTTAACCTGTCCATAAGCCAAAACTCTGTTCCAGACGTTTGGAATACAGCCTTTGTTCTTCCTTTACTGAAGAGATGTGACACCAATTTACTGAACAATTATCAACCAGTCTGTAAACTCTGTATTTTAGCTAAGGGTAAAACTGATAAACTCTCAAATCAAAAAGTATCTGGTTTCTTTTAACATCTTACCTCCCCATCAATCTGGTTTCAGGAAACAACATAGCAAAAGGACTGCTTCACTTAAGGTTTTTAATGACATTGTTGAAGCATTGGGGCAGCACGGTGGTGCAACTGGTAGAGATGCTGCCTCTCAGCGAGCAGGTCCCTGGTTCAAACCCCGGTCCAGGGGCCTTTCTGGGTGGAGTTTGCATGTTCTCTCCGTGCATGCGTGGGTTTTCTCCGGGTACTCCGGTTTCCTCCCACAGTCCAAAAACATGCATGTTAGGCTGATTGGTGTGAATGAGAGAGTGAATGGTTGTTTGTCTCGTTTGTCTCTATGTGGCCCTGTGATGGACTTGCGACCCATCCAGGGTGTACCCCGCCTCTCGCACAGTGATTGCTGGACATGGGCACCGGCGACCCCCGTGACCCAAAATGGAATAAACGGGTAAAGATAATGGATGGATGGATGGATGGATGTTGAAGCATTGGACGCTAAGGATTATTGTGCTGCACTTTATTTAGACCTGTCTAAAGCTTTTGACACTGGACCATGGTAAATGGACTGTATATAGCACCTTTCTATCTTATCAAGTTACTCAAAGCACTTTACACAACAATCTGTGCCTCATTTACCCATTCATGCAGCACTCTACTATATCACTACAAAGCTAATTGAACAAATCATTCTAAAGAGAATAATCAATGCTTTAGATCACATTCATTCACTGATGGGACACATATTGAAGGCAATGAGGGGTTCAGTGTCTTGCCCAGGGACACTTCAGCATGTGACTGCTGGTGGAATCGAACCCTCAACTTTCGCATTGGAGAAGGACTGCTCTAGCCACTCAGCCACAGTTGCCCTCATGACATCTCATGTCATAAGCTCTCAGAAATTTGTTTCTCAGATCACACCAATGGTTGGTTTACTAACTTTCTCTCAGACCGGAGGCAATGTGTTCAACATAATGGTACTTCTTCCAGTTATTTAACGGTTAACAATGGTGTGCCACAAGACTCAGTCTTAGGTCCCACTCTCTTCACAATCTACATAGCTAATGTAGGTCAGACCAACTCTGATGCATCCTTACATTTCTATGCTGATGACACAGTTGTTTATTGTCAAGCTAAAACAGTTTCTAAGGTCTCACTTCTTGGTCTGTTGCCTTCATACATCTCCTCCTACATGTCACTGTGTCAGTGCAGCTACAGCGTGCGCTCTCAGGACATTATTACATGCAGTGTTCCTTCAGTGCAGACTGAACTAGGCAAAAGGGCCTTCTCCTACTCCGCTCCTGTTTCCTGGAATATCTTGCAAAAAGATCTGAAGCTCTTGACCTTGACCTCTCTAAGTGGTTTCAAACATCTGTTAAGTTCATGGCAAAAACCAGTGCAGACATGTTCCTGTTTTTGGTTTTCTACTTTTTTTTTTTTACAACCTAGCTGTTTTTGTTTCGTTTTTTTAATACAGTTTTCTTTCATTTTTCTTTTATTTAATCTTCTCAATTTGTATGTCGATTGTTGTCTTTGTTGTTTACTGTTGTCATCATGCTTTGTTAAAAATCAGGTCTCTCTTGTAAATGAATCCCCGAGGCTCAATGAGACTAACCTGTATAAATAAAGGTTGAATGAATGAATGAATACTGGCTAAACTTGGGCATGGAAAAGACAACTTGTTTACAGTGAAATTATTACAGCTAATTAAACAACAGCTAATTATTTGTAATATATTCTAAACCGTTGTTTAGATGAAGCAACAGATAAGCTCAGGTTTCACTTGTAAATGAGTCTTTGAGGCTCAATAGGATTTATCTGTTTAAATAAAGGTTGAATGAAAAAAAGCTGTTTGCATCATATTTTGTCAACATTTTGTTAATTGTCTCAGAGAGCTCAACAGAGTGTAAACAGTCTAAACACAATCTATTTTCTGTTGTTTCAAAAGGTGGCATTAATAATAATAATAATAATAATAAGTGCTGTGTGCTGTCATCATATTTTCTCTATGGCAAAATTAGTCTCTGCATTTAACCCATCACACCTGGAATACACCATTACAATAAAAACAAAATTTCCTCCATTTTTTATAGGCCATTACTGAGAATTAAACAACAAAGTTATTACTCATTCTACTTACCTACATATCATTATAATCTAAAGTCAATAATGTTGCTAAGAAATGCTCAGACATTGTGTTAAGACCCAATAAATGAAGCAGTTACAATTGTTTACAGCAAATGTAAAATTAAACTTAAGTATTGTGGCCAACTAAGGTAAATATGTAATTTCATATATTTAGTCAAGATTTAGTGTTGATCACTGTAGATCAGATTACTGATTTTTTTTTTCTTTCTCGAGACCAATAATTACATTGACATCATTCTGATATAGTTACTGTACAACTGATTTCAGTTCAGTAATGTCAGTGTTCTCTAAATCTGTAGCCTACTCTAAGTTGTGGAAAAATCTGTAAGTTCTGAAGGGCAAAATAAGCAATTCTGACAAATAATGTCCTGCCCACACACTGTAAGGTGCTGATGTTGTTTTGAAATTGTTAAAAGCAGCATAAACGTCATACTTTACTGTATTTGAGGTAATTTTCAATAAACCAACCTTTCAGTGGGTCTATTGAAAATATATGTATACACAGTAATAAACCAACCTTTCAGTGGGTCTATTGAAAATATTATGTATACACAGTAATAAATGTAAGCCAGTCCAGTTTGTCCTCCTGAGCCCAGTGCGTTATGTTCCTCTGACACATGTGGACCTCACTCACAACACGTTTTTAAGGAGGAGGAGCTTACAGTCCTTTTTAACCATTTAAATTTTAGCGCATGCGCATTTCTATTCAATCGACACTTCAACTCTTACACAACCGTTCCTTTCTCCATTCTGCCTGTATCGCTCGCTCGTGTGTGGTGACATACGTGTTACTCACTTTTTTAATTTGCATTTTTTTAATTAAACCGAGACTTAGGAAATGAGTAGGGATCATTCCCACAACGAGGACCAGGTAATTTATACTTAGTGCCATCACTTGTGTGTAGTGCCGTGTATTTTCTTGGTTTTGAGTTTGACAGGGTAACTCGGCTAACAGTATCTGATAGCACAGTTAGCCGGCTGTGTGTAAACCACGTCATTTCTTTATTAGCACTGTCTTGACGAGTTTTGTCACGTTTGTGAGGATGCTTGATCCGGCTGCTGCCTAGTTAGCGCTTTGCTATATATAAAAGGCAAAGACAGTGAACGTAGCGGTTCATTAGCCCAAACCGTGTTAGCTCTAGCGGCTTCCGAAGCAGGCTAGCTAAGCTAGCAGTAACACAAACTGTCGCTTTGCCACAGAGCAAGTTCAAAGTTGGGTAGCCGGCTAGTTAGCCAACCTTGTGCAAAATTTAACATCCATGTTTTTGACTTTTCCAGATCGACTGTGGCTCTCGGGTCAATGGTAAGTTATCACACATGGCTAACAAATTAAAACGGACATTTTCCTGAAAATGTTATGTATTTAGTGTGTTGTAATGCAACGTTGTTTCAGTAGAGAACAGAAATGGCGTCCAGAGACTAAGTCCTCTGTCGCTCTCACAAGCGTCTATTGTTCAAAAGCAAACCCTTGTAAAAGCATTTCCGTTTCTTGTTTTGTCAATCTAAATTAATAATGGGACACAACTCGATGTGCTTTATCAGTCTATTGCGATAGAAGTTCTCGTTAGTTAGCTTTTAATAGCACATTTCCCAGCTGAAAGTGAGGGTTTGGGGGTTGAGGACTTAGTCTCTGCGCCATTTTCTTTTTCGCTGTAGCGGCCTGGCTGCTACGAGCTGAACCCGGGCTGAGGTGTGCATGGCTCTGGGGAGGAGAAATCAGGTTTGTAGCTGAAATGCTGGCGAAAAATGCATTTCACGTTTAGGGATATTTTCAAGTTTCTGCATATAATTTACAATATTCTTCAAGGGAGTGGATAGTTTATCAGTTTTATCAGCCAGTACATTAATTGAGTGATTTAAACTTTACAACTAAAATGCTGTACTGTTTGTGGGGTAGTTGTCACAATCTGGGCTCAAGCTCAGTTGAAATGTGTTAAATTTCATTTTTGTATTTTCCAAATTTGATTAAGTATAAAAAAATGTCTAAAAGTACTAACTTCCAAATTATGTCCCCATTCCATTTTTTATTTAATAATAACTTTTCGTATTTCAACAAAATAAAAAAGTACATTTTATAATGAATATATGTAGGCAGACACAAATACATTATTGCCTGTCGTTGAGAGCCACAGACACTTTACAGGTGCCACCACTGTCTATATCCTCAGGTAATGAGTATGTTGTGCACTGCAAACAAGGTTTAAGTTTCCGTCTACATCTACTCCATATGATGGCATGACTTTGGATCAGATAAAGCACATCTTGTCCCATTGGCAGCATTTTGTACGGCAGCCACGTTTTAAATAACGCTATGCTGTAAAACACTTTAGCCACTTCTATATACGTGCAAAATATTTACCATATTCCACACACACAGTTGGCAACTTGCTCACAAATTATTCCAACACTCGAGTTAAAAATGATTTTCTAACTTATTCTAGATGAGAGCAACATTTAACAAACCACACATGTTCAACTGAAGCAAAACTAAACCCAGTGATATAAATATAAACTTACTAGTAAAACTTGTTAATTAAAAAAAATGTTGAAAATAATCGATTTACGTTTGTTACACAGTAGATTACAATGCAGTTAAATCTGTACAGTTTATTTTTAATAATTTTTCACAGGTTTGTTTAGTGTACAAATGTCCTGAAAATTATTTAAATAAAATATCAAAATTTTGAGTCTGGACTAAAAACTTTTAAAATGGGTCATTTTAAACCCTTTTAATTGTATCTATACTTGAAAAAAAAAAACTAAAGTAAATTGTTTATCAGTGTTCTAAAAACTCAGATCTCAGCAGTGAACCTGATCTGAAATGTTTCTGACCGTATAAGTAATAATTGTGCTACTTTTGAAGTTTTTAAGCTTAAATTTAGCTAAATTAAAAACAATTTTAATTCTTAATGTTACCTGTCCCTTTTAGTTGTGAAAGTGTTGAAGAGTTGCTGTGGAAAGTATTTAAATGTTGTCTTGTACCAGCATGCCATTAAACTGCATTTAATTTCTTTAAAATTTAAGAGACTGCAAATGAATTTATTGAGTATCTTTAGAGTTTTAAACACCGTGTTTTAAAACAGCTCATTCAAATTTGCAGTTTCCTTAAGCTCTCCGACATTGACGTTATCTATTTTTCTGAGAATTAATTGCTGTTAAGAGACATTTCTTTTGAAACCTGTTGTCAAAAGTCTGGAAGCTGGCTGGAAAGAACATTTTTCTGCAAATTGTTCACATTAGCCACGAGTGAAATCAAAAGTTGTTTACTTACAAGTTTCAGCTTGTCTACAGAAAACCCCACAAGACTCAAGACGGACACTAGGAGGCGCTGTGCTGCAATTTATTGAAAAACTGCACCAAAGTACTAAACCTACTCATAAATAATCTCAGTTCACATGTTACTTAAAGAGTTTTATGAATATTAAAAAATGATTCCAGTTTAATATAAACCTGACCTGAGTGTCTTCAGTCATTTCACAGCCGTCTTTATGTTGGCAGATGGCCTGTTCTGACATGTATGGTTGTCTGCTTTTCAACACATACAGGCATGATGCTTATCTTTGTTCATGTTCTAAGAAGTTCAAATACTAAAAGAGGGGTGGCTGAACTTTAATACTTTATATTGAAAGGTGTGTTTTTAGTCTTAGGTTTTCATTAAATCATTAACACAAAATGGGGCAGCTCTGAATCTTTTAGTTTATTGAATCATTTGTTTCTTTGTTTAAAAATGCTATACTTTTACATGACCATTTTAGTTGTGTTGTTTAAATGTAGAGTAACACGTTTATCTTTTTCTAGACTCTCACAAGTATAAAGACAAGTACAAGGAGAAGGAACACAAACATAAGGAACACAAAAAGGATAAGGAACGGGAGAAATCCAAGCATGGCAACGGGTACAGAGCAAGTGTCTCAACAACTCGTGTTCCTGTCTTTTCAACAATTGGTACAACCTAAACTAATAGTTTATTTCTTCATCTTAGTGATTTCAAAGACTTCTCTAACAAAAAATCCAAGGACAAGGAAAAGATGAAGCACAAAGATGGCAGCACAGACAAGTTCAAGGACAAGCACAAAGAAAAGGTAAAAAATGAAAAGGTAAATAACCTTTACAAAAATGGTTTTTGTACACAGGGCTGTGCACGTTTATGTCCCGTTCATGGCATCAGCCATATCTTTGAGTCAAATATGGTGTGAAAGCTGTGTTCAGTGTAGGGGTGGGCGATATGGCTCAACTATAATATTGTGATATTTCAGAACATTCTGATAACGATAAATTTTGCGATATAACAAAAAAAAAATTGCAGTTCATTTGACAAAATTAACTTGTTGCTTTGCAATATATATATATATCCATTATCTTTACCCGTTTATTCCATTTTGGGTCACGGGGGTCGCTGGTGCCCATGTCCAGCAATCACTGTGCGAGGGGCGAGGTACACCCTGGACGGGTCTCCAGTCCATCACAGGGCCACATAAAGACAAACGAGACAAACAACCATTCACTCCCTCACTCACACCTAGAGACAATTTAGAGTTACCAATCAGCCTAACATGCATGTTTTTGGTCTGTGGGGGGAAACTGGAGTACCCGGAGAAAACCCACGCATGCACGGAGAGAACATGCAAACTCAACCCAGAAAGGCCCCTGGACCGGGGTTTGAACCAAGGACCTGCTCGCTGAGAAGCAGCAGCTCTACCAGTTGCGCCACCATATATATATGTTAATTTTACTGCAATTACTTTTATTTAGTAAAGTATTCAGTCTCAAAGTATAAAAATAAAAATGATCCTTCTATTACAAACCAGATTCCAAAAAAGTTGGGACACTAAACAAATTGTGAATAAAAACTGAATGCAATGATGTGGAGGTGCCAACATCTAATATTTTATTCAGAATAGAACACAAATCACAGATCAAAAGTTTAAACTGAGAGAATGTATCATTTTAAGGGAAAAATCTGTCGTTTCCAAATTTCATGGCGTCAACAAATCCCAAAAAAGTTAGGACAAGTCCATTTTTACCACTGTGTGGCATCCCCCCTTCTTCTTACAACACTCAACAGACGTCTGGGGACAGAGGAGACCAGTTTCTCAAGTTTAGAAATAGGAATGCTCTCCCATTCATGTCTAATACAGGCCTCTAACTGTTCAATCGTCTTGGGCCTTCTTTGTCGCACCTTCCTCTTTATGATGCGCCAAATGTTCTCTATAGGTGAAAGATCTGGACTGCAGGCTGGCCATTTCAGTGCCCGGATCCTTCTCCTACGTAGCCACGATGTTGTGATTGCTGCAGAATGTGGTCTGGCATTATCATGTTGAAAAATGCAGGGTCTTCCCTGAAAGAGATGATGTCTAGATGGGAGCATATGTTGTTCTAGAACCTGAACATAGTTCTCTGCATTAATGGTGCCTTTCCAGACATGCAAGCTGCCCATGCCACAAGCGTTCATGCAACCCCACACCATCAGTGATGCAGACTTCTGAACGGAGCGTTGATAACAACTTGGGCTATCCTTGTCCTCTCTGGTCCGGATGACATGGCGTCCCAGTGTTCCATAAAGAACTTCAAATCGGGACTCATCTGACCACAGAACAGTCTTCCATTTTGCCACACTCCATTTTAAATGACCCTGGCCCAGTGCAAACATCTGAGCTTGTGGAGCTTGCTTAGAAATGGCTTCCTCTTTGCACTGTAGAGTTTCAGCTGGCAACGGCGGATGGCACGGTGGATTGTGTTCACTGACAATGCTTTCTGGAAGTATTCCTGAGCCCATTCTGTTATTTCCTTGACAGTGGCATTCCTGTTTGAGGTGCAGTGATGTTTAAGGGCCCGGAGATCATGAGCATCCAGTAGAGTTTTACGGCCTTGACCCTTACGCACAGCGATTGTTCCAGATTCTCTGAATCTTTTGATGATGTTATGCATGGTTGATGATGATAACTTAAAAGTCTTTGCTGTTTTACGCTGGGTAACACCATTCTGGTATTGCTGCACTATCTTTCTGCGCAACAATGGTGGAATTGGTGATCCTCTTACTGTCTTGGCTTCTGAGAGACACTGACACTCTGAGAAGCTCTTTTTATACCCAATCATGTTGCCAATTGACCTAATTAGTGTTAATTGGTCTTCCAGCTGTTCGTTATATGCTCAATTTCCTTTTTCCAGGCACTTAATGCTACTTGTCCCAACTTTTTTGGGATTTGTTGACACTGTGAAATTTTGAGTCAACATATTTTTCCTTTAAAATGTTACATTTACTCAGATTAAACTTTTGATCTGTCATCTATGTTATATTACAAATAAATTATTGACATTTGCCATCTACACATCATTGCATTCAGTTTTTATTCACAATTTGTTTAGTGTCCCAACTTTTTTTGAATCCGGTTTGTATTTAGATTGAAAAAGTCTGCACAAAATATAGAACAAAATTCACCTAAAAACTACAGTGCAGGTGCGGTTTCCAAATAAACTAAATAAAATTAAAGCTCAAAATCTGTTGACCATAAATGTAACATACAACAAAATATACATTGCCTTTAAATCAGCTATAACTTTCCAACTTGTGACAAATGCAGAAAACTAATGAAATGCTTCCTGAAAGGATTGATCAGAACAGCTATCAGCCAGTTTCCTGATCCTCAGGAAGGCAGCTGGTCTCGAGGTTTGAGCTGCACGGTTCCCAGTCTCTTAGTGCACACTCAGACTCGGGTAAGGCTTTGCGATCCAACTTGACCATAAATCGGTGGTTGATGCATTCAGTGTTTCCCCTGCCTTTTTTACAAGCAGGGTGCCCCGCAGCATCAACAGAACCGAACGCACAGTCTACCAAACTGAGCTGTGCGCACCCCCACCCCGCCTGCACTGACGCAACTCCATGTTAGCAGCGCGCTAGCTAAAAAGCTAAAAGCAACGTCTTCCCTCACACTGAACCCTCACGCTGACCGGCTCAAAAACTGTCGGGACAAACGATGCTCAGCTCAGATGTGTCTGTGTCCCCCCTCTCTAAAACAGTGCTCAGCTCAGATGTCTCCATTCATGCCTTCATCTTTACAACTTGAATATCGCAGCGTAATCCGCTGCATGGTGGGATGAAGGTATTTACATCATAAAATTAGCATATCGTGATATAATTTATTTTCCCGGGTCAGGTTTTTTTTTACCGGTATTATCGTGAACGATATGATATGGCCCAGCCCTAGTTCAGGGCTTTATTTTGTTTCATGCATTTTAGTCTGACAAAGCCTCAGTGTTGTTTTAAGTAAAAATAAATAAAACTGATATCACAGTATTTAGTTGAGCTGTTGAGAAAAGTGATGGTAACAATGATCATTTGGATACGGCAGTGTTTGAAATGGACTGATAGTTTCACTTCTTTCTTCATGTTTTCAAAGTACTGAAGTTTTACCGTCAGAGCTGTGTGCATTAAAACTGACATTTAATGAAGTGTAAAGACTTTTTTTTTTTTTTTTATCAAATTGGGCTTTGTTATTATTTGCTGTTTAATCTTAAAGGTTTTGATTAACTGTGTGGTTTTAATTTCAGATGAAGTTCGGTGATGGTAAAGTCAAAAAAGAAAAAGAAAACGGCTTTGCCAGGTTTGTCAAGACTTCACATTTCTCTCGATTTCTCTTAAAAACGCAGCAGATGTGTTCCTGAACGAAGGTTGAGAAAAAGAGTTGTTTTTGTTTTTGGCAGCCCACACGTGAAGTCTGAGCCTGAGGATGACATGTACCACTCTCCTAAATACGAGAAGTCTCTAAAACGAGAGCGAGATGATGATGATTATGAGTAAGTGGGTGTTGTCATTACATGTGATTTTCATGCTGTAAGGTTACAATAGTTCGACTCAGCTTTACAACACTTTGTGTGTTTATCTCAGCTCTGAATTCAAGCCAAAGAAGATAAAGACTGAAAATGACAAGAAGGCCAAGAAAAGGAAACAGGACAACGAGGTAAAGGCTTCAGGCAGACTACGAAGCAGTGACTGTCATTTCAGTGTAATTACAGATGGTATTATTTCTCGCTCATCTTCGGAGTAGAACATTTATACTTTCTCCTCCTTATTTTAGGACATCAAGTCCAAAAAAACAAAGGGCAAAAAAGGAGAAGTAGCTGATGGAAAAAAGAAAGCAAAGCAAGAACCAGAAGAGAAGTGGAAATGGTGAGTTAATTCAGGTGCCTTCATGCTCAGCAGTGTGAGGACAGAAGAGTTTTTATAAAACAACTTTTCTTGACCGCAGGTGGGAAGAGGAGCGATACACAGATGGTGTTAAATGGAAGTTTCTTGAACACAAAGGACCAGTATTTGCTCCACCTTACGAACCCCTTCCCAGCAATGTAAAATTTTATTATGATGGTAAGACTGCAGCGCACACAGGATGTTTCTCACTTCAGAATAATTTGGGATCTGTTGAGTGCAGGTGTAAATTAAGACTATTTCTGCACGTCAGGTAAATCCATGAAGCTCAGCCCTGAAGCAGAAGAGGTGGCCACATTCTTTGCCAAAATGTTGGAGCATGAGTACACCACAAAAGACATCTTTCGTAAAAATTTCTTTAAAGACTGGAGAAAGGTATAAGGAAATATTTATTCACTTGTCTAAATTCAAACGTCAGTGTTTCTTTTGATTTTCATGTAAATTTAACTTGTCTGAATCTAGGAAATGACTTCAGAGGAAAAGACAAAAATCACAGACCTGAACAAGTGTGACTTCACTAAGATGAGCGAGTACTTCAAGACACAGACTGAAGCCAGAAAAGCCATGACAAAAGAAGAGAAACAGGTCAGCTGTGAGCCAGAGGTCTAAAACACTCTGTAGGCCTTGAACAATGAAGATGTGAATTGTGATGATTTTTTGTATTGTAGTTAAACCCTTTGTGTTTCAGATGGCCTTAACCCATTATGCTGTGCCTTTCAGGCAATAGTGTGTTGCTTTAATCTTTCCTAACGCTACACATCATTGTCATTTCATCTGAATTAATGTTTTTTGAGAAATGTAAAAATTTCAGATTTTTTTATGATTTAAAAAATATATATATTTTTACGACTTACGGGCATTTCTTTTTTTCAAATAATTATTACGGTTAACCTTGTGAGCTGAAGTTAATTTGCTTTCATTGTTTTTCTACTTTTTATAGAAAATAAAAGAACAAAATGAGCGCCTCTTGCAGGAGTACGGTTTCTGCATCATGGACAACCACAAAGAACGTATTGCTAATTTCCGTATTGAGCCCCCTGGCCTGTTTCGTGGTCGAGGAGATCATCCAAAAATGGGAATGCTAAAACGTCGCATTAGACCTGAAGATATCATTATCAATTGCAGCAAGTGAGTTGAGAAGTTTTCGGTCCCAACTTCAGATGAACTGATGAAATGACTTGCTTTTAATAATACTATCAATGTGTTTGTGATGTAGGGACTCCAAGTGCCCCGCTGCTCCACCAGGCCACAAATGGAAAGAAGTTCGTCATGATAACAAAGTGACTTGGCTGGTGTCATGGACTGAAAACATCCAAGGCTCCATTAAGTACATTATGCTGAACCCCAGCTCCAGAATCAAGGTGGGCTGATGGGTCCTAAACTGAACCGTCATCTATCATTAGTCAGCCTATGATCACATTTTTTACAATTTTTTTTAAAATATTTTGTAATGTTTTCATGAAATATAGTATTTTGCATCAACTTATCAATCCCAAAGTTCAGCCTTGAGTTGATTGTGTATATGATTTATACAAACCTGGGCTCATCTCAAGCTACTCTTCGTATTTACATGTTTTCCCTGCAGGGAGAGAAAGACTGGCAGAAGTATGAAACGGCCCGTCGACTGAAGAAATGTGTGGATAGGATCAGAACGCAGTATCGCGAGGACTGGAAGTCCAAGGAGATGCGGATCAGACAGAGAGCTGTGGCTCTCTATTTTATTGACAAGGTGAAGATGGAAAATGTTTTGTTCCCAGTGTTTGTTGTTAGAGGAGCTTTTGGAAGTTTGTGTTTGAACAAGGTTTAGTTTGTGCTTAAATATTTGTTACTGCTGCCTCAATAACCCAACTGTTGTGTGTGCACTAGCTGGCCCTGAGAGCAGGTAATGAGAAGGAGGAGGGAGAGACTGCAGACACGGTGGGCTGCTGCTCGCTCAGAGTTGAACACATCAAACTGCATCCAGAAAGTGAAGGGCAGGAGTTTGTGGTAGAGTTTGACTTCCTGGGTAAAGACTCCATCCGCTACTACAACAGAGTCCCTGTGGAGAAAAGGGTAAGGACCAGTGTGCTGCTTCACTGGCAAAGTTGGAACGTTTTAAATTTAACTGTATTAATGTGAATTATTTTATTTATTTGTTAAGGTGTTTAAGAACCTTCAGCTGTTTATGGAAAACAAAGAACCTGATGATGACCTGTTTGATCGACTGAATGTGAGTCAAAATATGTCATTAATTTGTTTTACTCTTGTATTTAAAAATGTTTTGTCCATTTGTTGCAAACAAACTTACTGTTCCTGACTTTCTGCACTTTTTTACTCCTCTTTTGTATAATTGGATTTCTTGGATTCCTCCAGACTTCTATTCTGAACAAGCATCTTCAGGAGCTGATGGACGGTCTTACAGCCAAAGTTTTCCGTACATACAACGCTTCGATCACCCTGCAGCAGCAGCTGAAGGAGCTCACAGCCGGTACGCATCGGACCAAGTTAACTCTTTTAACTATGAATGAAAAGATGGTAAACAGCTTTTATTTGATTTTTGGTCTTTACCGTCGTCCTCTGTCTCCACTAGCGGATGAAAACATTCCTGCCAAGATCTTGTCCTACAACCGGGCCAACAGGGCTGTGGCCATCCTGTGTAACCATCAGAGAGCCCCCCCCAAGACATTTGAGAAGTCTATGCAGAACCTGCAAACTAAGGTAGAGAGTCTTTTATTTCTTAATAAACATTTTGTGTTTGTAACAACACAATAAAAGACTCTGGTCATCTCAGAGACGGTCTTTAATGTTTTAATGTAACAGCTTGGGTTAAGATTATTCTGTAATATCTAAAATACGAAACAAAGGTACTCCGAGCTCGACCATGTACTGAAACTAATTCCTTTTGATTTGTAGATTGATGCTAAAAAGGACCAGCTTTCTGACGCCAAGAGAGAACTGAAGAGCGCCAAGGCTGATGCCAAAGTACACAAAGACGAAAAGTCCAGAAAGTGTGTAACTGATGCCTTTCTAGAAACACCTTGACGCTCATCCTGGTTGCTCATTTGTATTAAACTGGATTGTTACTTGTTTACAGGGCGGTGGAGAGCAAGAGGAAAGCAGTTCAAAGGATAGAGGAGCAGCTGATGAAGCTGGAAGTTCAGGCGACTGACCGTGAAGAGAACAAGCAGATCGCTCTTGGCACTTCTAAACTCAATTATCTGGACCCACGCATTTCTGTGGCTTGGTAAGACGATGGATTAATAATCAGTCTTTTAAAATCCAGCACTATGCATCCGGCAGCTCTTCCTACTTCTAGCCTCTGATCGGTTTGTCTGGTCCTGTAGGTGTAAGAAGTGGGGCATTCCTGTCGAGAAGATCTACAACAAAACCCAGCGTGAGAAGTTTGCTTGGGCCATTGACATGGCAGACGAAGACTATGAATTTTAAATCCGTTTATTTATCTATTATAAACTTTTTTTATTGAGTTTTTAGCTTTCATAAATTTTGCTTGATGGCCAGACCCAACAAGGAATTTTTCAAGTTTGTGAAAAAATGGAAGAAGGACGGTAAAAAGAAATAAAAGGAACAGAACGATGGTGTGGATGGTATCTGATGTGAGCTCAGGTAACGGGGCTGGATTATATCCACGACAGATAGTCAAGGTAAAGTTCCTGTAATCTGAAGACTCCTTTGTGTCTGTCCCTCCTCAGGGACAAAAACCTGACAACTCTGTGGTCCTATAGCTGTGTTACACAAAAACAAAAAATGCTTTGTATCATTTTAATTTGTTTTTCACTCCGTGTGTATTTTAGCTCTCCCATGTATTATTAACGGATTCTATATTTTATTAAACAAATTAAAATCAAATGAATTCCTTAACTACACCCATGCGCCTTTCAAGAAAAAGTGTAAGTATGAATGTGTGTGTATGTGTCAGACTCAACCATGGACACTCTGGCGTGTACGTTTCAAACTGGATAATGTTTAATTGCTGTGAGAGGATGTCTGGCCGGGCAAAGGGGAAGATCTGCACCCATGTTCATATTTACTTCAAGCAGAATGTGAATACTTTGTTCTCCAGCCTCTATCAGGGACTTTAGTTTTTGCCAGTGTGGAAGTGTTTTTACCCTTTGCTTTGCAATCATCCTTTGGGTCTGCACAGCTGATGATTAAAGTAATTGAGCAAATGCTTTTAGAAAATAAAACACCCATCTCTGTTACTTGAACATAATGTAATTAGTCCGTGAACGGAAGCTGTCTTGCCTCTTACTGCTGGGGTGTGTGAGATATCAACTTTGCCAAAAAAAATAAGATGAGAGGGTGAATCACCAAACTGTTACAGCATAGGCAGGTTTTAATTGTATGATTTAGGACAAAGTATTGTAACATTTAATGTGAATGATCATTTCATTTGATTCCACTGTTTCACTGGTGGCGAGGAGGTCGATGTAAGCAGCTGTAAACGTCCTATTCCTGTTTTAACCTTTTCTTTTTGTCATAGCCTCTGATCATGTTTCAGTTTGAAGCTCATTGTAGAATGAAAAATTGAATAAATTCCTTCAGGTAAATGTCTTTATTTTTTCAAATTTATGAAAGAGTCTTGAGTTTAAAATTTTCTTTTTAGGGATTTTCTTTTAAAAATGTGTATGTAGCTATTTTCTTTTTAAATTTCCAAGTTTAATATAATGACAACAACCTTGTTTTTTTTTTTTTTAAGTTAATCCTTTAAACTGCATCACTTATAAATATCACAAACAGGTCCCCCCCCCCCACACACACACTTTCTCCAGTAACATCTGGAATGCTGCTTTGCTAAAATGTCACATTTTGTATTCTGGCCTGTAGGTGACCACGTCTGTGTGTGTGTTCATTTGTTTGTACTGTTGGCAACTTATTTCAAGAATCAAAAAACTCAGTTTGTAAGGAAACTCCCAGACCGTCATCACTGGATGTACAACTGCACCTCATTAAGATGCTGCCACCGCTCATCAACTTGGGCAAAGGCAAGAATACTTTACCTCAGCCACGTTTACAAATATTAAGCTAGGCATACTCTGAGCTCTCCACATGGCACACTAAACCCTGTGTTGGCAAAATAACTCGAGCTGCCGCAGATTTTAACAAAACTTGGAAATCATTGAATAAAAATCTGATTCTTTGGAATCACTCTTTTTCAATATGGCTACTACCAGCCACAACTAATTGATCTGATCCAGGGGTCGGCAACCTTTACGATCAAAAGAGCCACTTCATTCACTAAATTAAATGTGTCCAGAATTTTTAACACACATTTTTACAATTTCAGACAAATGAAAAGACCAGATTCTTGTAAAGAGGGGGGAAATAGTGAAAAATGAACAATAAAAAAAACCTCCAACAATGTTCAGTCGGGTCATCCTGTCCCTCGTCAACTCCTCTCAGGCAACACAGCCAAAGTGACCTTCACCCAGATGACCTGACTGAACATTGTTGGATTATTTACCTGGATTATTGAGCATGAACTTTAATGTCTTGAACCACTTTGGCTGTGTTGCCTGGGAGGAGTTGATGGAGGAGAGGATGCCCCCCAGAAACCATCTTATCACCAGCAAACTGGTTGGTCCACTGTAGGAGTGTACTGCTTAGTGGGGAAAACTTGTGACTCCTTGGACTGATGAAGCGCTTTGGATGGAGGGTGAAACGTCTCAACAAAAAATAAAAAAAACTGTCCAGATGACTGAACATTGTTGGAGTTTTACCTGGATTACTGAGCATGAACATTGAAATAAAAAAAAATAATAACTGCAGATCTATGTGATTTTTTTTTAATGGTGGAAAAAATTAAGTACAGAAATAAAACAAAAAGAGTATTTGCAAAAGAAATGACAGGAAAGCAGCTAAAACTAGTCCTTTTGTTTTTGTTTGTATAATCAATAAAATTCAGTTTTATGTTTTGGTCAAAGCTTGAAAGAGCCGTAGGCTGCAAACCCCCGAGTCTGGGCGACAAAATAAATGTCCAGTTCACAAATGTGTGGTAGTAGCGGAGAGTCATTCCTAACAGATGCATGATATCATGCATGTGATTTACAGTCTTTGACCAAAACAGCTAGAACGGTGTCATTTCTCAACATAAGATGATCTTAGTTTAAATCTGAACCAAGTCAGGCTGTAGATTTTAATCATCCAAAGCTGAATGTTGCAACACTCAAAGGAACTCTAATGATCAGGACAAGTTGTAATAACAGCTGCTTACAGCAGGCGGCTCTCTGTGTTTCCTGTTCTCTGAATCATTGTGTCCTGCTGGATGATGCAAGGCCATGGAAGAAACAAACCTTTGCTGCTTGGTGAGTATTCAATTTATTCTGTAAAGACACGGAAGTGTAGAAAGAATGATACAACAGTGCGTTATGATCAGACTATTGTTTGTTTTTTTCATAAAAGGTTTGAGTGATCATTAACACCATCAGTCCAGATTTCGTTGATCTCAGACCAAAATAAATTTGTAACATTCGACACAAGTGCATACACTGCTGGTAGGAGACACCTCCAATGTCACTTTGGATGGTATAGCACCGTTCTTCGCTATTAGCAGCTCGACAAAGATGCAGCTTAGATTCATGTAGTGACTGTATGTTTGTAATAAACACGTGAAAATCCAGAGGAGAGCAAAGACCTCTTCATTTGGCTCTCTAGCAAGCACAGTCTCTCTCTCTGCCAGTGTCTTGGGATCAAATTGAGAATTTCTTTTTTTTTTTTTTTTTTTTTACATTTTGCCAGTTACAATTTTTGATACGGTTACAGCTTAAAGTTGAACATCTCCAAGTGTACAGAAAGCAGCACAAGATTACTTTTCACAGGTATGGACCAACAGTGACTATCAATACACTGGCATGATTTATTTATTTTTTTTATTTATTTTTGAACAGCACGGCTGCTCGAAAGCAAGGTGACGGACAGACGGGTCATAGAAACACACGGACAGAGCTGAGTAAGGCAACGTTAGCGTGACAGGCTTCTCTGTTCAGTTTGCACGGCAGTGTAGTGTATTGATCTTAGCAAAGCTGTCAATACTTTTACTGTGAAGCAGAGTGATTGTTTTTTATTATTATTTTTTAAGCATTGCTGTCTTATTAGTGCATTGTATATAGTCTCTTGTGTGTAGCTGAACTGCAAAGTGATCACCAACATCTTACAGGTCTAAATGAAACACGTTTGATTGCATCTGGACTTACAGTGACGATAAAAGAGTAGATAGAATAGAAACTCCAAATAACAGAAAAAGTAAAGTTCAAGGCAGTGCTGAAGTACTGGTTGCTAAAAAAGTAAAAAATATCACAAAGCCAACAATAACATTTTTCTTGACACTTTTTTTTTTTGTTTGTCCAGTCAGTACAAACCATCTTTTATAGTGCAGTTTTACCTTTATATATATTTATATTTATATATTTCTCCCTGTGGCCCATAAACAATAGCTCTTGGCCCTATCCCAACCTATCTTCGTTCATTCAAGTCAGTTTTCCAGTCGGTGTGCGTCTTTTCTTTCTTTTCTTTGATCCCTTGTTCTGACCTCATTGTGCACCCTCCCCACACAACCACAAAGAAGCATGAAAGGCTTAAAACATCACAGGACTCAAAAGGTGAGAAGTTCTTTCTTTTTGACGATGGCAGGAAGTGATGGCAGATGGAAGAAGAAGAGAAGGAGGGAGAAGTGGGGGTATTCACAGTTTCAGTCAGAGTCCAACTGTCCAGCTACAATCACATCTGCTGTCATTATGAACACACTTTTTAAATTTTTTTAGACAATGACCAGGGGAGCAGAGCCAGCCGTTAAACATCACGTTCCTCTGGCTGGGTCCAATTTGCTTCCTCACACCTCCAGCAGCTCCATCCTCAGGCGATCCCTAACACACACAAAATGTAAGAACGTGCTCAGAACATGTATAAATTGTAAAATAAACAAAAAAACAAACATGCTCATTTATATGTCCGCTCGCTTCTTAACAATCCATCTCATCAAAAACAATTGTCATGATTTATTCACACGTATTAGCATTCGCTCTCAATCTATAATTTAGTACCCAGCTTTGTCTAAAAATAGCTTCTTAAACGCAGACCTTTGATTGCCTGAATAGGCTCCTCAGCATGAGTACCTGTGCACGCTTCTCCTGCTTCCTTTTTACTGTACATCACGCAGCAGCCACTACAAACAGCAAGCTGTCATGCTTTCATCACTCCCCCTGGCTAACATTGTTCTTCCCTTTCCTGAATGGCTTGTAAAATATCACAAGGCGCCCAGAAGGAAAGTGTACCTAACTTTAGTAAATTGTAAATGGGTTGTTTTCAGTGAAGTACCTGGCCTGATTGGCTTCAGTCTGTTGCTCGATGAGTGACTGATTTGTTGCTGGCTGCTGGTGGTCCTCTCCTCTCTTAGACCAGGGGTCCTGCTCTGCCTCTTCAGCTGTGTCGTGCTCACCGCCCCCCTCCGACCTCGCCAGGGCTAACAGCGGTGCGTAGGATTCCTGCCATGAAACCCGCTGCCCTGAGTTCAGCCCTGCTTCTCTTCCAAGGTGCATGTTCTTTTCTTGCTCCAATAGTATCTGTTTAGCTGCTCGAGGGTCCTTCAATAATTCAGCTTCAGGGTCCCCATGAGCTCTTGTGTCCTCTGACTCTGTAGGCGCCCGCTGATACGTCTCCAACCACTTAAGCTGCCCGTTCTTGTGGCTGTAGCGGCTGTCACTGAACCAGCGGACCACCTCTGACTTAGGAAGGCCTGTCTGGATGCTCAGCTCCTCGTACTGTAGGCTGCTGGGCCAGCGGGTGTTAGAGAAAGCCTGCCGGAGGATTTGCAGCTGCTGGGCGGTCTTGTTGCCCCAGGGTGGTGAGAAGGATGTATGACAGGCAGACACCTCAATCTCACACTTGGATTCTTGATGGACCTTGGATGTAGTCTCTGGTTCGTTCATCTTCAGTCTTTTAAAGTTGATCTTAATGGGGTCAACTCTGAGCTCTGCTCTTTCTCCAACACTTGGGTCCTCCTCCTTAATGAGCTGCTGTAAGATTGACATGCCTTTTATGGGAAAGTCTTTGTTGCATTTTGCCTCATCTAAAATGGATGAGTTGCTTTTTGTAATGACAGTGGTGCTGGTGCTTCCAGTTGGGGATTTGCTGGCATCATTTTGGTTGGGGACACTGTCATTAAAGGTGGATCTAGAGCATTCACTGCTAATACTGTTGTTGTCGGTCTTGTGTATGTAATTGTTGTTTTTGTTGTCAGACTTGTCAGCATGGGCCAGTTCTGGCACATTGATGCTGATGCTGTTATGATTGTCACAGGTGGCGTTGGATTTGCTGGTGTTGTTGGTGACGGCTTCACTTGTGGTGCCGTTTGAACCTTCTGAGCCAACTGGCAAATTGTTGCTTTCCGTGTTTGGTTTGCTGTTGGGGTCAGTAGCACACTGCTCACCATTATTGCTAATGCTAACCGAGCAGGTGGCAATGCTATTGATGCTGTTGGTTGGGCTGCTGTTATTCCCCAGTTTCCTGTTCTCAACACCATTACTACAGCTGGAATAGCTGCTGATGCTACTGCTACTGCTGCTTCGACTGTTGCTTGTGCTACTGACACAACCGCTGCTTCCTGCCAAGTCCAGACCATTGCTCTTGTCTGACCCCACATTCGGTTCACCAGTCTTGGTTGGTTCCTGTGATAACTGGACAACTGGAAGAAACTTTTGGGGGGCAAGTGGAGAAGAATACGAGACCCTCGTAACATGGGGCTTGGTTGTCATGTTGGCCTGTGTGGTTATAACTCCAACTGGCTTGGGTTTTGTACTGGTATAAGGAACTTTGGCCATTTGAAAGTTTGGTCCTTTGGTCCCTGGATTGGCGTTGACAGTGCGGTGAGTTACGATGTGATTGACTTGCCGTGGTGTCACAGGTTGCTTCTGGGGTGTTCCGCCTTGGAAAACAGTGTTGAACATTTTCCTCCTGGCTTCTTCAATTTCTTCAGGAGACCAACTAATACCCTGCTTCAGCCTCTGGGCGGTAAACCATAGTTTGATTTGCTCTTCAGGGAACTCTGAAACCACCGTTAGGTAACAGAGCTCGGCTTTGGTCGGGTAGGGAAACTTGCCAAAGGATGTCTTGAGAAAACTGCTGGTGTCCATGATGGCATTGTAGGTAGGGATGCTGCTGAGAGGGATCATCACCTTTGGAAGATCTTTGTTTGAGTCAGAAGAGAGAGAAGAGTATAGGGGGGGAGTGTGCTGGTGAAAGACTTGGTTGGACACTGTTGTTTTAATCACATGGGGGACAGTGGTCCTTGGGTTAGCTGGGACACCAGAAATACTGAGAGCCCCGTTCTGGAGTTCAGGCACATTAGTCAGCAAGCTGGGGTCTACATCCTTTCCAGAGTCTATCTTACGTAGTTCCACGGTGTGAGAAACCACAATCTTTTTATGCTCCCCTTTGGCTTTCATCATCTTGGCAATTGGTGTTTTGGTGAGGGAGATCCCAGATTCTTTGTAGTCTTCTCTGCTGTTGGTGAAGAGGCTTTGCTCCACAGTTGTTACTCCATCTCTCTTGCTGACACTTAAGGAGGCAGTAACCAAGCCCTCCATTATCTTAGGGTGGGCAGTAGCGTTGTGCAGTGCAAGAGCCTCAAAGCGTACGACTGACACCCTGCAGTTCAGGCAGTAGAAGGTGGGCTGGGCCCTGAAGTCCAAGTGACAGTTGTGCATGTGATCCAAAAAGTAGTTGAGATCTCTGGACTCGAATCGGCAAGTGACGCAGTTGTAGGTGCCTCCCTTCTGCGTTTCACTGCCACTGTCAGATTTGGAGGAGGTGTGAGAGAAATGGCCAGACTCCTCTCCAGAGATGCTGAGTATGCCATCTTCGGGGATAGTTGGTAGGAGTTCTGGGAGCGAGCCCAGTATGATTTCCTCGCGCACATGTTTGGATTTGGATGGTATCATGCAGGGCACAGTGGATTTCCTCTTGCTGGCCATATTGCAGCTTTGTGTGAATGGGACAGTGAGTGACTGGTTGTCCAGTGAGAAGTGAACAGAGGGCAGGTGGATAGTGGAGAGGGCTGAGTGGAGTTTGGTGTCATGGATCAGCCACTAAAACATCACAGTGTTGCTTCATGCCTTCTGCCACTTTTGGACTACTGTCACATGGACACGTTGAACAGCTCTCACAGAACCTGAGATGTAAGAGAAGCAAAGAGAAAAAATGTATCAGCTATAGAAAACAAATGCCACTAATGCTAAAAATGTAAGACAGAAAACAAAGGAGTAAATTATGAAAGTAAAAGGGAATGTAGGCACAATGTATATGACATTTAGATTATAATTACGGTGTGTTTAAAAAGCAATATGAAAAATGTTACAGCGAGCAGAATGCTCACTCGGGCTAATACATGTGGTTTGAAATGTAAAGTGTGAAAGGAGCCGGCAATAAAAACACCAAACTGAATGAGTCTGGAGCTTTCCTTTAAAACAAGAATTTTACCTTTAATCAAAAACGAAGGTCACATTTAAAGACTGCAGAAAGGGGAAAAAATTGTGTGAATCTCATTCACCAGACATATTTAAAAAATCTGACTGCAATTTGTGTACAAGACTATTCATGCACTGAACATGAGACTGGAATGATTTGCAAAATCCTGAAAAAGATTTACCCTGAGTATAAGAAGGACTTCTACAAAATAAAAGATTTTATCCAACAACAAGGGGAGTGGGGACAGGTTTCACTCTTACACACATTCCTAATTAAGGTGTTCGGTGCAGTTTTCACATATTAACACATATCTGATGAATAAAAAATGTAAAAATCCATCAAAAAAAAGCCCAATTAATTCTTTCTCACCATCTCCTCTGATTTGTAGTAATATATGAGCTCAGAATAATTACTGTGTCATATACAGTAATGTGTAAACATGATGTCTGCTTTAAAGCAGCACCTTCCTGTAGGAGCAAGTTAAAGTCAGTAAGTGAAAACCTTTTTTAGAGCGCCTCTGGGATTTCACACCTATCGACGCACTCCTGATAGTGCCAAATGTATCTAACCTCGCCAACGGTCTCACATTGCTTCAGCAACCGCAAATATGCTAAACACGCACACGGGTTTGTGTGTGCCAGAAACATTTCCTTCTTGTTGGGCGTTAAAGCAGGACTCTTTTTAGGCATAAGGATTAATTTTACATTTATTATTTCTAAATATATATTCCTGTGGACTGTGAGATCTCACGCCCTGCCCCCCCTCTGACTTGATTTTGTACAAAGGTCAAATAACAGTGATTATTTTATCGGTCTAACCTGGACGTCAGCCATGTACCAAACAATGTACTTTACCAACATGACGCAATGTCAAGATGATTAGGTGTATCTGGTGTTTGTGTCACAGCTGACATGATGCTGAAGACTACAAGTATTCTCAGGACACACAAAAAACCCACATCTGGTATTACACACACGCTGCTGACTCTGACGGACTCATCCTACACTTGCTTAGTCGTAACAAGGCCGTGCACGCATATGCTATACAAACACAACACAGCTCAAGGGTACAAATCCACAAGCTGACTAATTCTCCTGAACTGTTTCTACAACGCTCCATCTTTTCCTCTTTGTTCTTCGAAAACGAGGAGGAAAAAAGAGCCACAGTGGATACATTACAACCAGAGTGTCCACTTTTTTTCATCTCTGCAAAGTGAAAAACATGGAGAACGAATGAGGAAAAGAATATGAAAGTGGAGGCGGCGCTCTGCAGCCCCATGCCCTCTGCTTGAACTTCTGACACACACTTGCACTCACACAGCCTCCGTTACACCATTCTGTCCTCATTTCTGACTCTAGAGATGCATTGATGTGTAACATGCTGCAGAAACTGCTCTCACCCCATCATCATCTATTCCCGTCACTCAGACTTTGCCTTTTCCTGCAAGCCTATTACTGAGAAGAAAACAACATGCCACCAAAACTGGCTGCATGATGAAACTTCAGCATTCCTCAACATCTTGTTCTACAGTTCACTGGCTACAAAGAAAATCATTCCACATACTTTCAGCTGTTTTCCCCTTTCCCACTTTATGTTTGCACACGCTGAGGAGCATTTTAACAGACCGTGCATGTCACTTCGTCCACGTGCATGTTCTCCATAGCTGGCTAGAAGTTAAATAAAAGATGAACCCGTTCTAAAGTGAAACCGTCATGTGACTGCCCAGCTGTATGAGCCGACAGCACAATGCTTTCAGCTACATCTTTATCATTTCTACTGATGGATGCTGTTTGCCGATAGAGGACTAAACTGAAACAAAAGAAAAAAACAAACAAACTAGGTCACTGGCATCTTATGCAGTAATCCTGGTTCGCTGAATCCTAAAGCGGCCGTGTGTTGTATGTTTTACTGCCAGAGAGGTCATGATATACTCTGACGGCACACTCGATTAACCCCTGCTGAGGACACGGCAGTCACCGAGTTCGTTTCACTGTGCGAGGGATTTAAAAGTCAGCTTTCACGCTATGGTGATCTCAAACATACATTAAAGGATGTCAAATGTTATAGATGATAAGAAGTAATAAAATTGCTTTAAAAAGGACAGTTCTGATCCTTTGACAGCTCTTTTGATGACCTTGGTTCAGAAAAATAAAGTTCAAATCTGATCTGACTGATGAGCTAAAGGCTAGTCCAGAGGTCTGCAACCTTTTTAATCAAAAGAGCCATTTCTATAGAAAACGTATCTGGAGCCACAAAACCTGCTAGCTGTGATTATCAACTGATGGCTCATGGGCCACTGAATCGGTTGGAGGGGGGGCTTTTCAGGCCAGTGGGGGTGGCATTATAAAACTCAAATTACAGTATATCATGAATGTTAACATTTATTGATATTTTTACATTTTTAAGACAAAAAAATAACCATATCACATAAGGAAAAAAAAAGTTTATACAGATTTTGATCAAATGAAAGCACTGAACTCTGCGGGCCTACGTGAGGAATAATAAATAAGTATCGGGCGGGGCTGCAGTAGTTCGGTGGCCAGTGTTGTGGTCTTGTAATCCTGAGGTTGCGGGTTTGATCCCAAGTTGTGTCAAGAAAGGCATCCGGCGTAAAACAAATTGTCTTTCATGCGAATGGTGACATCTGAAGAAGCGAGCAGCCGAAAGAAACTTACTTACTACAGGTACTTCAACAATTTCCTGTGGGATCGATAAAGTTATCTTATCTTACTAGTGGTTATTGGGCAAAAATGTACAAAAGTATGACAATAAAACTACCAAAACTAGCCTTTTCTGCTGTGGGTATAAAAATCAATACAAATAAATTTCAACAAAGTTCAGGTCATCTGGACAGTTTTTGTTTTTTTCTTATGTTGAGACATTTCGCCCTGCATCCAAAGGACTTCATCAGTCCAAGGAGCCTCAACAAACTGAGTCCCACAAGCAGCACACTCACATTGTGGACCAACCAGTTAGCTGGTGATAAGATGGTTTCTGGGCCCGCCCTATCCCCCGTCGACTCCTCTGAAGCAGCCATAGCCAAAGTGGTTCAAAACATCAAAGTTCATGCTCAATAATCCAAGTAGAAAATCCAACAAAGTTCAGTCAGGTCACCAGGTCGTCTTAATTTCATGAAGTTTTGGTGAAAGCTTCAAAGAGCCGTCACTGAGGGACTAAAGAACCACACGTGGCCCCTGAGCCACAGGTTGCAGACCCCTGGGCTGCTCCAAGAAAGGCTCAAATCGAACCAGGTTGCTGCCTTCTTGAATCAACTGCATCAACTTTCACAGGGTTCCCAGTTCCCTCACGATGAGCCCAGAGTTACAAAGTCTTCTCGCTTGAGTTTTGAACATGTTCAAAAACTGAAGTGACCGTTTTTCTTTTGAAATAGTCACAAAGTCGATATGGGCATCTCAAAAACTGGCTGTTCAAAATGTGTCCGCTCAGCTTGTTGGTCACGGGCGCTCAAAATTTAGTGAAACTACTGCAAAAAATAACAGTTGCAACCCAGTGAGACACCATTATAGTCACTTTTACAGGATTATTTATTTGGTATTCTGTGGTTGGTGTGAAGCACAAATAGCTGCAGCAGCCCAGCCGGTAATTTATGATACTTCTGCTTGGATAACCACATAAAAACAATGCTGACCGTGGTACAAAACGTTTGTAAAATGGCATCCAAAGTGTTTGAGATTGGAGTTTTAGGACCTCAGCAATCCAGTTTGGTCTTGGTGCCACTTAAATTAGGCATTATCTTGTCAATTTGGTCGAAATTAAACTCAATTACTCCAAACTGAAGTTGTTCAGAGCGCTATCTACAACAGGTAAGATATTAATAGTCTATAACGTATTCTCAGAGCCCTATCTAAAAATAAAACCCAAACTATTTATTTCAGCCCACATTGTTTTGAAATGACCATGAATGAAAAGCTGTAAAGACATTGCGTTATATTCAATCGCACTTACATGGCCTAATAAAAGTAACTTAATCTTGTGTTTATTTTTCAGAGTGACAAAAACAAAAGTGATGAATATTGTCCATGTCACTGAATAATGTTATCCTGTTTGTTACTGCTGCCAGCAACATGGATATAGATTATACTCCAGAATTTTTTAGAAAACGAGGACATGGCAGTGCTTCTCTTCACTTCCTGGATGATAAGGTCAGCAGCAGTTTGTACGTTGAAGCGAGGTTACATGAAGAATCGGATCGTCGATCCAGAGAAAGAGCTGCTTTATTTGGCGGCTGAGACGTGCGATCAGAAACGAGACAAGGGCTTCCCAGACGGGGAGCCGCTGACCGGGCGGCTCTGAACAGCGCAGCGCTGTGTTTCAGCAGTAAGGTAGACGCCGCTCAGATGATGGCCGTCCCCGGTGCGTCGTCCGTCCTCGTGCTGGCACCGGCTCTGTGGCTCAGAGGGAGCAGACCAGAGGAGCCACGCAGGATCTGAAGTGATAGAAGTGGCGGGGCTCTGAACACCCACGCTCCGAGGCCTCGCTCACTGGACTGAAACCATGTTCGAACCATTCAACTTTTCCAAAACGGGCGTTTCAAAACAAATGGGATTAAGCTAGGTTTAAATTCTGATGGGGTTTACATTAGATGCCAGATTAAATGGCAGATTTGAGGTTTACGTGTCATTTTCAAAACCTTTAACATTTATTACATGGGAGTTTCTATGTGTACACTTGATTGTTTCCTTCTTGTTGGAGCAAATCGTTTAAAAGAAACCAGCATGTATTCCCTTTCCTCCTCATAAACTGCTGCAGTAATTACAATATTACAACACCCCCCACCTAAAAAAAAAAAAACATGCCCAATTTACAGCAAGCTACTGCCAATGGAGAAGAAGAGGCGAGGCTGCAAAGTGGCTGCTAGGCATTAAAATTTAATTCAAAACAGTCCACGGATTCAGACACTCCCAGATAGCTGGGTCACCTCGGCGAACGCAGATTGGTGTTTTTGTTGTCGCACGGACGAGGACGTGAAGGCTGGAGGAGAGGGAAGGACAAAGGAAGACAAAACTCAGACGTTTGGGAGTGAAGTGAGAGGATGACTGATGATGATGACAGGCTGTGCCGTTTCTATCTTCCTCCCCGCTGACACCGCGTAGGCACACGTCTCTCCACACACTCCCTCCTCACCTCCGCAACATTTAGCACCTGTACTGTTCTGAAAAATCTTTCTCTCAGAAGTGGCAAAGGAGAGTCTTTCAGTGTGACAGCTGCAAAGGAGGGAGGGTGGGGAGGAACAAAAAACAAAAAAAACAAAAGCAGAAATCCTCTCACATTTGGTTTGTGTGTAATTTGCACTGACAGTGATCAGCGGCTGTCTTGAGCCTGAAAAATACAAAAAAACTCAAAACCTGTCGTCCGCTGGGGGTTGAAGCAAAGAGGTGGGAGCTGGGGAGGGGGATGCAAATGTATCTCCTGACAGAGACATTTGTTAGATCAAAAATCTGTTTAGCAACAGCATCTCTGCCAGATGTCCATTAAACTAATTAATGTCATGTGAGTGGATCAGCTGGACGCCCCAAAATAAGGCAGAGACGGAGAAAACCAACAGACTGGGAACAATGGTGCCTCCTTTATAAAAGAAACCTGATCCAGAGCCGGAAGGATTAGGACGTCTGTCAAAGTGTGATTGTCCCGTGTCCCTCAGGTGTTTGGGTGTCTCCTGTGTCCGTCGTGCAGACGCGGGGCTCTGACAGGACGGGTGGACTGGTTCAGACTGGTAATATGTTGGAGGAATGGGCAATGGGTGTGAGCAAGTGTCAAGATCCGGTGTAGCGTGTGCTGAAAAACAGTTTGGAGTCACCGGGGTCATTATCACGTGCACACACTCGTCCACATGCCTGTCCAGCTGAAGACGTCCACAGGGTTTCAGTGTGTAGTCTACTTCTTGGTTGTGGGTTCTTATTGTTTCCTTTCCATGGGCGTGTTCGTGTCTGAACGTCTGAGACGCAGGTGTTGTCCGCCAGCTTGCCCATGTCCTTCTCATCACACACACACTTACACACACATGCACTCCCCTCCCTCACCTCCATAACTGCAGCCCCATCCACTGGGAAACCGACGGTGGTGCCACTCATGTGTTAACATTGCCATGGCAACCCCACTCTTCCCCTTGCCCACCACGCCACACACACTCATAGCGGAGGCGCTTGCCCACACCCATCAAACCTCAACACACACACACACACACACACACATGCACTCTGAATTCCTTGGACTGCATCCGGAGCGGGACAAACTTAATCCACGCCAACCATCTTTGAAAAGTCCACTCAAGGCTCCTCTGGGAAACTTTGCATGAGGTCTGCAACGACAACTTCACCTTTTATCCTTTACAATCACATCGTAGGGACAAAAACTCACTGCTGCTCTGTTTGACAGGGCCTGATGGGGGAAATACCCCAGCTGAACAAGCGACAGACCACCTGTCTGTTATATGTGCAGGCCTGAGGCCGTACCTGCTAAACGCCACTTGAAGCGCCAAGCATCCATCGGTACGAGCCAGTTCTGCGCTAACGTGAGCGCTCACTGTTAACATCCCGCATCATTCTCTTAATCTTCCGCAAATGAACAATATGGTACTAGTAGAAAAAAGTCTGAGTCGTGCATCTTTTTGAATCACATTTAAAGATGATTAACTTCTTCAGTTCTGTAGCCAAGACTACAAAACGTTTGAAACGAAAAGGAAGAAAGATGGCGGCATACGGCACATTGTACTGTCCACCTTAAAATGGCTGACATTACAGCCGCTTCAAATCGCCAAAGCCTGGTAAATGCCAGCTCCTGCTGACCAAACCTTTCTTGCATGGGACAGAGAAAAGGGGCTGGGGTTCCCCCCTCCACCACCACCAGCAGCAGCAGCCCTAAGGCTTTTTTTTTTTTTTTCTTCAGTGAACAGTTCTTTGGTTGGAACAGAGCAAACATGCTGGTTTATGCTGGTTTAGTGGGGCTTTTGAGCGGGCCGGGCTTCGGTGCTGCACTGGTCCGATGACAAAAGCAACACCAAAAATAAAGAAAGACCCAAATAACAGTGAACCTGTGCAGCACGCCGTCCTTTCAGGGCGGGGGGAATAGGAATCGGTATTGGCTTTCAGAGAATTTTCTGTGAGCATCATGAAGTACGCGGCTGAAATGAACGAATGTTTGTACAAAAGCAGCTTGAAAATAGATTCTGTCGGCATTAGACGTTTAATTTTTTTCTCCTCTGAACTCAAGGAATGTTATACACTCCATGTTGGCTAAATCTGCAAATATGACCATACGACCCTCCTCTGTATTCTCTGGCACAAGATTCGTTTTGAGCAGTGGGAGGCACATGAAAACATACCGTCTACAAGAGGTCAGAGCAGCAAATCCTGAAAAGTAGCTCCAGTATTCGAGGTATATGAGAATGTTGTCGGGAGGGGAGTGGGCACTCTTGGCCCACTACATTGTGTGTCTGTATACAAACACTCAGCTGTGGCCATAACAAAACTATGAGCTATGCCTAATTGCAGGGAGTGCGGGATGAAAGGCAATATGCCTGGCCTCATTAGAGCAGTTCCAAGAAGGGAGATGGAAGACCGTTCCCAGGGATCCACAAAAGGGAATTGACATTCCACCAGTGCAGGCGTCCTGCCGGAATACAAACCTCGACACACACTGAACTCACCGGGCCAGGCTGAGCACAGTCTGCCGGAGCAGCACAGCAAGTGCTCACGTCCCTTTGTTTTGCCGGTACGCCTGAAAATTAACTATCGGGGTGCACTGGAGATGGGACTGTACCCTGCACACAGCTGGGAGTCGGAGTGGCACAGTCATCTGTGCGGCCTACATTGTACAAAAGATTACAGGGTTAACGCACGCCTAAAAATGACCAGTGATTCATGCTTCGTCTAGCCGCCTGCTTGAATAATTTGGGGTTTTGTGCTGAGGACACTGACTTGGACCCACGCATGATTCACACTGAGGCAGAGGGCCCTACCCTGAAGGCAGAGGGAGACACATGGCACTAAGGCTGGGGCAACATTTCTGTTCAGATACTGGAATATGTATCATATTTCAGATTATATTTCATATACATCGTATTTATTTAATCCAGTGTCTGACAGTTTGCAAAATCTCTGCAGTTATTTTATGTTTGCGTGCAAATGTGTGTGCGTGTGTGATGATTGGTGGGGGTGGAGGGGTGGGGGCAGCACATGTTGGCAGGAGGAAGAGAAGGAAATTAAAACGCAAATGATTCCCGTGCATAAATATAAAGGCCTTCCTCGCGGCTCGTGGCGTGAGGGAGCAGAACGAAAAAGAAAGATAGTTTCCGTCCACTTTCAAGCTCCCAGTCTTCTCTAAACGCATATTTCTGATTTGATGATCTTCCAGCGCATGCGTTTGAAAAGTCTTTCCCAACTAAACGCGCTCGCAGCTCGGCGCGTTGAGCAACAAAACGCGCAGAGACGCCACATTTAGCGCAGGACGGAGCCAAACGGGGGATCCGTCCAACAAGTTAACCCGTTTGGCTCCGTTCACCAGGAAGGCTGCGGGGACACACGCACACCGCCTCCGAGCCCACTCAAAATAACCTTATATTCCCCCACTTAAAAAAAAAAAAAAAAAATCCTCCACCCGCCTCCTCCACCTACTGTCGCCATTTTATACATTGGCGACTTCATACGAGCTGCCTTCACCGCAGCGCCACATGAAAATCCAATATTCGGCAGCGAGATGTGGATTCGGGTAAACAAGTTTGGAGCTGGCGCGGCTGGACCGAGTGTTCTGGTGTTGGAGTCTTACCTCAGCGGTGGAGAGATGGAATCCAACCCGGATTCATAAATGAATTATTTTGGATCAGCTCCGAGCCGAGCAGAAAGAGGAGTCGAGTTAAAAAAAAACAAACATATAAAATGTGATTTAAAAACCCCGTGGGGTGGCAGCTCTCCTCAAGTGAACCCGGTGAACTGGTGTGAACCCGTCAGTGAGCACGGTAAGGTACATTACATTACATTATCCAGCAGCCCTCAGCTCCACTGTATGGAGGCGGCTAAACAACTACAGGCGGCTGAGCAGGACGAGGGAGCTCCAAAAAATTATAGCGAGTGTATTTCCTATGAGCACGTGATCCACAGCGTCATCCAAAATCCAAAAGCCCTTTCATCTAAAATTTTGGAAAGGGGCGGGGATGAGATGGAGATGTATGTGTGCGTGTGAACGGAGGAGGAGGGTGTACTGCGAGCCTGGTGCACATTTTGGTTCTGGGGGATAACAGCGCCGCGGAGCTGATTTGGATGTAGTATAAATTTGGAATCTGTTTCACCGAAAACGTCCTTGTTGCTGCGTTTATTCCAACCTAAATATGTCTGCTTTAGAATAATAATCAAGCAATCTCTTTATGTTCCTCCCCATATTAGGTTGTTATTTAAAACTCGGGCCTATTCGACTTAAAATAGACATTTACGCACATGCAGGCGGGAGAAGAGTTTTACGCAGGTGCGCCGTAGCTGCAGCCTATTATCCGTGCGTGTGTTTGACATGATATGTCTCTATGAGTCAGACTGGTGGTTCTCATCTGTACTGATGGACCAGACGTGCCTGTTGCGTTTTGCGGGCCTCGTGACCTTGTTGGCCTTCTGTGCGTAAAAGCGCACAGAGAGGCGCGCGACTCCAAACGGCCAGGAACAAGCTTATTATATAACAGGAAAAATGCAGATAAATACAATAGATGTTAAGGATTTTAGAGGCATTAAATCACTTTATAAATAAATATGTTTGCATCAATTCACCCTCAAACAGAGAGCTGAGGTCACTACAAAGTCCCAAAGTGCTGGAGACAATGCGTTAAGGTTGAGTTC